CGCCCAAACCGCCAGGATAACCGTAAGGGGAAGCAGCAATCCTATCCCGTCTCTCCAGGCGGGTATAATGCCTGCTTTTTATGGTCTCAGTGGCCGCCTGGATAGACGTCCACTCTGGACGTGTATAAGGCCGTCTTTAGTGCGTAAACCCAAGCGGATAATGGCCAAATTATTTGCTGGGTAGGTTTCCATTCCTCAGAATTGGTGGCAGCCTAAACAAATTGCTCCAACATGCTTACCCAGATTTCCAAATCCTACTACTGTATTCCTGAACTGTATTGTAGTGGTTGTTGGATAATGCATGATTTGTCTTCAGTAAGCCGTTTTTTTTAATTTTTTTCAACCCTTGTGCGGCAAAGTTGGACTTTTTCTGCAAAATGTTGTGTCTGTCAGGACAGGTTTTAAAAAAGAGGAACAATTCACCCAGGGCAAAGTTGGGCAAAATCCCGATGTATTTTTTAAAATCTGCAGAAAAACTTTGCCTAAAAATAAAAAAAATGCATCACCAAGGCTGAGCTTTTTTTTAGCATCTTGCAGGATTAGTTGCATTCTTCTCTGATTTGCAACCCTTTCATTCAGGGCACCATACAGAGGATTCTTATTCAGATCCAGAAAAAGATTAGCTGAAAAAGTTGGACTTCGGGAGATACTAGCAGCACCGTTTTGCCGGACAAAGTCCGACTTCGCCCTAGGTGACCTGGCTTGGCTTTTGTGGCCTTCAGGAAAAATGAAACTCCAGACCACCAGAGAAAATCCTGACTTTGCCGCGCAATGGAAAGGAATCCTTCCCTGTCCAAGGGTTAATAAGGTAATGTTTTTTTTCTCAAGTCAGAGATTTTCCTTGGAGATTCCATTGTCAAGTGTTGACATTTGAACACAAAAGGAATAAATTGAGACAGAGATGTCTGTTATATCGAAGACCTTGTTGTGAATGGCAATTCAAAGGAATTGGCAATCCAAACGAATCAATATTTTTACGAAGACCATTTTCTACAAAGGATATCAACAGAAGTTTAAAAAGGAGTTTCAAATAAATCTGAAAAGATTCCGGAGATTCAAAAAGTTTTGGAATCGTTATGAATAATTTGAATGAGCTGAAGTGCTAAACTATAAGCGAAATATTCTCAACTTTGAACAGATACAGTATATCGAGGAATGTTAATTCTAGTTAGCAATAGAAAAACTCTTGCTTCATTCACCCAAAGGTCACATTTTTAAAATATTTTTCACATTGTCTATTTTGTGTCGTGATATTAGGTTTGTCCTTTGTGACAGGGAGAAGGGATTAGGTTTGAAAGAACTGGTTTCATGCATCCCTTGGATGCAGGAGACGACAATTCCTGTGCATGATTTGGAAAGGGCTTAAAATCTATATCTGCTTTTCAAGCAGGGAAACACTTTCACATTCATCGAAAGTAGCTTTGGAAGTTGTTTTACAAGAATGAAAACCAGTCATGCCTTATTTTTCGTTATTTCTGCTTCTTTTTTCTCACTTTCGCTTGTTCGTCAGTCGTCTGGGTTCGGTGTCCGCGAGACGTTTCCGCATTTTTGATCGGCTGATATTTGCTGAGTTCAGTTCATCGGATTCATCGAGTGTTGTCAACTTTTACAAAACGAGAATGATCACAGAAATTCGAAGGACACACTGGAAGATTGAAGATCTTTCCTTGACTTGATGGTCATCTCATCTTGGTGAGTGCACATTTCACTTTTTTCTGCTTTTTGGGCGCGTTGTTGTTGAGTTGAACGCAGCAGCTGAATTCGGTCAGCTTTTTCAGAAATGAAAAGATTTAATAAGATATTTCCGCATTAAAAAAGCGTTTTTCTTTGGGATACAGAATTTATTTTTTGACCTGATGCATCAACTCTCGTTTTGCTGACATTTTCTTCTTCTTCGCGAACACCGTTTTTTTCATGCGTGCCAAAAAAAAGTTCCCAGTACAGGGCATTTGATTGTGATACAAACAACCGGGAAAAAATCGCGACGCTGGAAGAAGTTGTGCGTGGGAACCCCTGGAAGATAGACTTGCCCCAAAAATTAGTCGTATCTCGTACGACATTTTTCTTAGATTTATTTTCTCATCAAGAAGAAGAAATAGCTGACTATGAAATGTTTGCCAAATGACTGCAAATATCGTTCTACGATGGTTGTACAGTATATATATGCTCGTGAATTCAGAGAGCCGACGTTTCAAGTCAAAAGCTATGTTTGAATTAAATCTGTTGGAATGAACAGATTTTTTTTGTTTCGTTGAAGGAGTGCTGGTCGGCGGAGTTTCAAGTGCTTTTAAATTATGCATTGAATTGAGGGGAAGAAACATTGATGATTTTTTCTCTGTAGAAAAAGCATTATTATTCGACACTGAAAATATGCTTACAGAAACAAAGTATTTTTTCTTGAAAGACCGAGGTTCAGTGATTATCCTTTGAACTGATTAACTGAACCGGAGGAAGTCCCCGATTAATATCGGGCGAATGAAATACAAATTTTCAGAAAATAAAGTTCGCCTTCAACTCATTAACTGAACCGGAGGAAGTCCCCAATTAATATCGGGCGAATGAAATACAAATTTTCAGAAAATAAAGTTCGCCTTTCTAATTTTAATCCATTTTCAGAAAATAATTGGATTGATTTTTGAGAGCCTTTGTATCAAATGTTTTGGCGGATGCAGGGATTCTGTCCTTGCAAAATGGCATTTTGCATTTGTTTATTTTCTTTCCAATTTAAGCATATTTTTCATGGATATGGTAAGAGTTTCAATCCATTGGAGAAATAATTTCTTTTAGAAGTTGACAAAGGAAAACAAAAGCCTACTCTTGCAACAACCAAAAATTAGGATGCAGTTTTCAATAAAAAATTCTGTTGGGTTCTACCCATGCAGTAAATAATTTCTTGCAGGTTGGGCTGGATGTAACAGCTATGTGTATCACAATGCATTTCCTATGTGAAGCTGTCACATCCAGCTTTTTCATCAAATGGAAATTGCTGTCAAACCTTTAAAAAATAGATAAATCCAACTTATTTGAATGCATTTTAAAGCTCTGAATGTGCTCTATATGGTATTGCAGTTATCATGATTACATTTGTTGCAGTAATTTGAGTTGTTGCTGTTACATTTGTAACCATGACTACTTGAATTACTGCAACAAATGTAACCTTGAAATCAAAAAATACTGCAAGAAATGCAACTGCAATGTCAAAAAGTATTTGTAACTAACATAACCTGACCTAACCTAACTTTACTTAACTGCCTCCCAAAATCAGTTTCAGCAGAATGCAGAAAAATAAACTTCACAGTTTCTGGTAGGTTGTGGTGATTATGAACTTGTCCTAAAGATTTGTCTGGATGGTAGTGCGGTCTAGGAATGACGTACAGTACTGAGATAACAGGAAAGTACCAGAATTGCAAGCAGGGCAAAATATTTTTGCAAATGCTGATACAACCAAACTGAACAGCAGCCAAGCAGGCTACAAATATAACCTGGGTAAACAACACAGACAAAATAGAGATCAGAACAAAATAACAGATAAAGACAGAAATAATAGCACAATCCATGATTACAGAGGTCTACACAGAAATGTGAAAACAGTTACTACAACAACAATGGGAACTATATGCAATGCCTCAGGCACCCTGGTTCCAAAGGCATTTCAGTTCCATATGCCTGCGGCATCCTTTTTCTGTATTGTTGCAGTTCCCATTGTGAACTGCAACAGAAACAGTTCCTGCAACTAAAATGGGAACAGCAAAAATTTGGAACCTCAATGCCTATTGGTGTCAGAGTAAAACATCACAAGTTATAAAAAGTGTATAATGAGATGTGCTATTTGTGATGCTGCAGTTCAGAGGGTTTTTTATTTTAATTAATTGTGCCATGTGTCTTTGTGTTCATGTGTGATGGTGTGTGTGTGTGTGCTGTAAATGTGCAGTGTGTCTATACTGTATGTTTGATAGCTAGGATGCTTGCCTATAGCTAGTAATGGGATTTGAATCCTGAACCTCACATCTTGTAACAGTCTCCATACTGGATGTGCTAAGGCTCCCTAGCTTGTTCTTACAATGATTGTACATCAGGCTTAGTAGAAACCCAAACAATATTTGTTTTTTTATGTGGAGTATATACTGATGTACAATCATAGAAGGAGCAAGCTAAGCAGCAGCATAGCATATATATCAACACACATGTCCATATCTCATGACCATTTCAAAACTCCATAGGCTTTGACAGTTTATTTTCATTTGTTATTATTCTTTAGAAAAGAATAGCGTTTTGAACCAGAAATCAAACGCTGTTCTGACTGGAACAGCATGTCCACCAAGCATCAGTGGATACAATGGTACATTGGACCCAAATGCAGTCTCATGTCTGTTGGCTGTTCCAGACAAATCTTCTAATCTTTGCTTAACGGTGACTTAATCTGATTCTTCCATCCTGAACATTTTGGAATTTCATTCCGCTTCTCCTTTTTTGAATTCCAAAACAGGATTCTTTGAATGCTTATGGATCAGCCATAGTGGCACGCGGGACAAATGGAATTGATTACTTGGTAGCCCTTGCCAGAAAGTACTCTTGCAACCGTTCTTCAACCCCAAAATCCACAACTGTTTTTGGTTCGTCATTTGCCTACCCAAGCCACAAGGATCAAGTTTGTAGCCAGCCTGGTGTGATGTGTGAAGATGCATCCCCAACAACCACCACCACCACCACTGCTACCACCACTACTACAGCTGCCCCCATGTCTACCAGCACCAGTGTGAAGACCACTGGAACCACTACCACACAGCGCCAGTCTCAACAGGAAATTGGAAATCAAAGTTTCTTCAGACTGCTCCACATCTTTCAGCAACTGATGAAACAATGTTGAAATCCCTGTTTGAAAATGATGAAAGACGTTGATTCAAACCAATAATGTGCCTTGTTTGAACATTACCATCCCAAGTGGGGAGCTATTCTTTGTGTGACCCCAGAAATGGTGCACACTGGGGTCACAACTGGTGCATATGGGATATTGTGGGGTTACAAGTGTGCACTCTTGCAGAGGAAATTTTGCTATCATTCCAGGGCTACACTTGGTGCAAAAATGTGACATAACAGGAGTATCACACAAATGCACCAACTGTAACCTTGGTGTAACTTATTTTTGTTTACAAATGTGACCCTGCGTAATCCTGGTGTGAACACACACAATTGGTGCACATTAGGGATAGGCATGTGAAACAGAAGAACTTTGGTACACTTCAGGTGCACAGCAGGGTCACTGTGAAGAATTACAAACATATCCCCAGTGTGCACCAATTTCCTCACTTGGAATGCAAATAAGCGGTTAGCATCCATTTGCTCCCGTCACTGTGTTGAATTGAATATTTAAAGTACAGTACATTATAGTGTTACTGTTTAGTTTTTTGTTTGCAGTGATGAAGTGGTTGGAAAAATTGAAATGTATAGTGTTACTGTTTAGTTTTTTGTTTGCAGTGATGAAGTGGTTGGAAAAATTGAAATGCACGTGTTTTACAACTTGTAGCACCAAAATGATCTGTTTTCTTTAATATTGAAAATTGCTACATTCCCTACTTTCCAGAAAGAAAAAAAATTTCAAGCAAAGCAAAGGGGTCACAGCAAACCATTACAGTTGCAGAATTTTGGATAAATACCCATTCTGCGGTTCAGAAATTCGACAACACTAGATTACAAGTTTTAAAAATCCTTTCGTGTAAAAAATATTAAATTCAGTACTGTCTTACTTTGGCAACAGTGAAAAAAATTAAAATTAATCTCCAGGGGAAAACTCAAGACATGACCGTTTGATTCTTCACGTGGGAAAATTAATTTGTGATTCATTTTTCATTGGCTCCACAGTCATGAGAATATTGGTACGCAAATTACAAGATTCCAACAGGTATGCTTGAAGAAAGTAGAATTGATTAATTATATTCCAAACATGAATAACTTGATATTTCCTTTGCCTTTTATTTCGCAGAGGGTGGAATCATCAATTTTTCATGCATATACTGAACAGAAGTTTTTATTGGAACACCAAGCAAAGGAAAGATTGTGAACACTCCATCAACCTGTATGTTTCAAAAGTAATATGATAATGATTTGACCAGGATTTTCCAACAAAAATTAGGAAAATCTTATGTTGAAACTAAATCACAACTGGGAGAGGATGAACTTGAAACTCTCGCTGGTCAATTCTGAAAAAACTAGTAAAAATGTCATTAGGCACCAATTTGATGGCGAACAAAGAAGGATCCATCACATATTTATGAAAGGAAAACCAGGGTTCATGCATCTTCAAATATTGAAATTTTAGCAATTGCTGAACAACAACTATCATTGGAAATATTCCAACAAACTCCATGGATCTGATAAAATCACAGGATCAACACAAAAATACGTCCTTTTTGGCGCACTGCATGTGAGCAGTGAAATATTTTGAGATTTTAAAGGTCCGTTTGAAACTTCAATAAAAGTAGACAAATCAAGGTTTGTTAGATTGATTGACGGAAACGAAGAAAGGGCGGTATCGGATTTACAGACGCCTAAGACCGAAGCATCTGTTTGATTCCTGATGCAGAACAGAGAAGCGACATCTGCTCGCAACATTGTAAACTCAACGGTGAATATTTTCAAACTCGGATGTTGGTGGAACACCCGCTTTTTGGAACAATTGGACAACTACACTTTTCATGGAGACCCAAAGAAAAACCTTGGGTGTAACCAAGGATTGCAGGATTTGAGCAGAAATAATTCAAAACATCAAATCGAAAATCCAGACAAATTTCCATCACACTCTTCAAAGAAAAATACACAAAGGCAGAAATTGTTCGAAATGTGAGGAAAGAAATGTAAAAAAAAAACGCAGTGGTTGCCAGTGCGATGGCATAATATAACTTCAATATTTTCAATACCTTCCAAATTTTGATCTTTATTGACATCAGAAAATCAATCCCTGATCTCTCGAAGGCATTGTAGCACACTCATTAAAGAGAGAAAACCCCATCTGGTTACAGAAGAAATAGCAAAAATAAATCACGCAATATTTGAAAATTGTGATGAAAACAACTTCTTCATGCATTTTCACCAACACAAATCGCGGTGGAACAATCTCAGCTTTTTTTCCTTCCTGATTTTCAGAATGTTTAATCTGCTCTCCCACCCTTCCTCCAAATATAAATAAATCGGATATGACCCCCCGAGGAACAAACAGAGGAGTTCCACAAATGAAAGAAACATAAATTCTGGCCAATGACAAAATATAATTCAAGCCAATAATGTGCCTTGAATGTTTGAACATTACCCAAAAAGGGTTTAGCATTCATCATTTGCTCACGTAATTGGGCTGAATTGTACATATATTGTACATATATTGCACCTGTTATTGTTTTTATTTTCGTTCGCAGCTTAATGAAGTGGGTGGAAAACTTGAAATGTACGTGTTTTACAGTTTGTTGCACCGAAATGATCTCTTTTCTTCATTATGTATTACTGAAGCTTCTAAAATGAGGGCAGCAAGGCTTGACTTGACATTTATCGAAATTATGCACTGGACTTTCCAAACGTTGGAATATTTACAAATGTCAATTGAATATAATATATTCAGCTGTTTGGCTGCTGAGTTATCTTTAATTCGTACACTTTCATGCCTACAGAAAAAACATTTCAATAAAGCGGGAAAAAAAGAAAATTGAAGAGAGAGAAAAAAAAACGCAAGTGGGTTGGCATGAGGTTTCCAATCACTTCTTCCATCGAAACGGGTCATTGCTAAAGATATTGAAATTGATGCAATTTCCTTTTGAACGACATTCAATTTTCAGATTTTTAAATGAATTAGTCCAAGGAATAACATCCGCATTGGCGTCCGATTCATGTGCATCATAAATCCTCGTTCTCTTGAATTTCTCCCATCAGTTTGACATTAAACCTATTTGCACAGAATAAAACTTCATCCGAATAAAGAAAAAGGAACTTCGTGATGTTTTGGAAGGAGGTGAATTTGCGTTACACCCAGCAGTGAAGAACGCAATTCATAAAGAAGGCAAAAACACGAAACTCCGTCGGTTACAAGAAAAAATACTGGAAAAATGTCACAAGGTAATTTTATTTTTCTGGCGACTTGTGACAAAGCTCTGGTATTTTTTTTTTATTCTCTCAACTGGGTGGATTTCAGCAGTAGATGCACCAGCTCGGAAAAATTGACAAAGGGGAGTTTGAGAAACGAAATACAAACAGTTTGTGTCGCGCAGCTCGGCTCGATTCCTTTGGTTTCGAAAATCTTCACATGTTTTCTGTCAAAAAACGGTTCATGTTGAAATAATAAATTACGATATTCTACATCAAATCTGTTTTCCTTTCTTAATTAGGAGAAAGATTATCTTCGAAAAAAAAATCGGTTCCTGAGCCCCGGAATTTTTTTTTAAAACTTGAAAATCGGTGTTGGAAAAATTCCCGTGTCTGCTCAGAGTTGCCAATTTCCATCACACACACGACGAAAGCAAAAAATCATATATTTGGTACAATAGAGTGCGAAATGTTTGAGCAATAATGGCAGATTTGATGAACTCCAGTCTCTTCAATCAATACTTTGAAGAAACAGAAAAAAAAAAGAAAATTGCTCTAATCCTGTTCATTGGCTCCATCACACGGCATATTTCAACATAGTTTCGTATAGTGAGAGACACATTTTGTAAAAACACGAGCAAGAAAATCCGCGAGTAAAAAGAATAAATACTGGAAGAAGGACACTTCCATAAGGAAAATAATACTCTTATATTTTATACACTGGAACATAAACACAAACACAAACAGGTGAGAGATATTCTTAGGTCAATTCTAGAAAAGAAATGTTTAGCCTATCTTCCTCCCAGTCTCAACCCAAAATTGGGGGGGGGAATGGGGGAGTTGTAGAATAAAGGAAGAAAGAAAACGTTGGCGAACGTCAGAACTTTGCCAGCTTCAGTCTAAGGTGGAATAATCACCAAAGTAAAAGTCGAGCAGTTTTTTTATTCAAGAAAACTTCTTTGTAGAATTGCTGGATAATTCTCGAGTTTTTTTGTTTCCATCATCTTACCGTTGGTGAATTTCTTCCATACAGTAAGTTCTGAAAAATGAAGTCGTTTGTCCTTGTGTTAATGATGACGATGATGGTGATGTCGACATCAACGTCGCTGTCGAATCATCCAACGAATGAGGTGAGCATTTCTCCACAATAATAATAATAATCAGAGATGGTGTGAATTTAATAGGCTGCTGTTGGAGCGGTAATTTTGCCGCAGTTTTGTTCTTGTCGTTGTGATTTCTGGATTAAAAAAAAAAAACTCATGTGTGTCTGAGAAATTCAATACAGCCTCATACTAAAGACAAAGTAGAGGGAAAAGCATGTTTCCGAGCCATAACAAAAATTTCGGAAAATTCGCCCCTCCAACAGCCACAAACGGTTGAGAGAACTGACAAACTGTTAACTTTGCATAATAGGCCAAGAATTCGAATAAGTCGAAATACACTTTGATGTCTGATGAAAGTGAAGACAGGTGTCTTGAAAAAATGAATCACGACTTCAATGAAACGCAAATTTTTCATCGTTTTCTGAGCTTGAAAAAAAAAAAATATATATATATATATAGTCACTTGACAAATAAATTCGTCGAGGAAATCATCAAAATGTCTTCAATTATTCTTTTGCTGTCATTCGCCAGCATCAGAGGACCACTAGGAAAATCGGCCATTGGACGGATCCTCACTGCGGAAGACAAAGACTCCTCGTTTTTGGTTTTAATGAAGCCAATTATTCAAGACAGTACTTTCGATACAGGATCGGATCCCGGTTGCCTCATATCAGAAAGGTGAGACATGGACATTTTTTACTCTCACTGTTCATTAAGATATCCTAACTCTTGAGTTGTCAATATAGCTGTTGCCTCCATGACATTGTAATCCTTATTTTACAAAAGGATTGTTAGTCGGGTGTTTGAAAATAATACTCTTATATTTTATACACTGGAACATAAACACAAACACAAACAGGTGAGAGATATTCTTAGGTCAATTCTAGAAAAGAAATGTTTAGCCTATCTTCCTCCCAGTCTCAACCCAAAATACACTCTGAGTCTGCTAAATGGGAAACCACCATTCAAGTAGACAACTAAACAAGCAAGAGTGAAACACAACAATGTCACAATTGTCTCACACAAGAAATGGGGATCAAGTAAAAGGTCAAACCAAACAATTGGATTTGCTAGAACAAGGAAATGTCCACCCATTTACCAGAATACTAAGTAGGTAATATTCCTTCTCATTTCATGGAGAGGAATACTGAACAGGACATGAGACAAAGGGAATTGTTGGGTTGTGCTGGGGCTACTTTGTAGCCCCTCGTAGTGTATTTGCAAAGGCTCTTAGAAACCGGTGCCTGGCACCGAGAAGGACAGAAGTGCCTGCTACCTTCCATGGGATGTTCACCTGCTACCTCAGAAACAGGTTTCAAAACCTGCACAGTAAAAGTTGCAGAGGAAGCCAGCGATGACCAGTATGGTCACTCGCTGACTTCATCTGAGAAGGGAAGCATCTCCAAGTGGATTGATCATTCTAACTGTCTGGGTTACTGTTCTAAATTGTCTGTTGTGATTATTATTGTGTTGTGTCCATCTCTGTTTGCTTGACTGTTTGTTATAGCAGATATTAAAACCTGACTGTTCTTGGGACTCCTGTAAGGAGGATCTGGCCTCATGAAGGCTGATTGCCCTGTTCCTTTATTTTATAAAAAACCTTTGTGTTCCCGGCACCACAGGAATATTGTATTCCCTCTTTCCATCCTTCTTCCAAATAACATCAGGACATTTCCTGATGTTTAACCCATGCTCTCAATATTAATGAGGTTTTGAGAAAGGGGCTTAAAATAAGTAAAACACTTTTTGGGATAACAACATAAATAGCTTTTCCACTGTGGATGTCTCCCAGAGTTCTTCAAAAGCTCTCATTTCTTACTGAATTTTTTAAAATAAGATAAATGAGTTACAATATATGAAGATGTCCTTTCTTCAGCTGGCGGCGGTGCTTAGATGAATAAGACTTACAAAGAAGATGAAGTGTTTATTCTCAATTCCCCTTCAACAACCAGATGAAGCAATAAGCTCCAGACAAACAATTAGTGGAGAAAGACGGCTTATTGATGGACACTCATGTGCAGGAAGAGGGGAAAATGGAACCAGGTGTCATAGGTCAACTAAATGTTGCCCGCTGATGCCCTGATCAACTCAGGATGACTAGATGTTGCCCAAGTGAGTACAGCAGTGGAATGTACAAGAGAACAACATGGCGTACAAAACACCACCTTGTCCTTGTATTTTCAAAGAAAAATAATTCCTGCAAATATAATTAAGTATTAACAAATATGCAAAAATGAAAGGAAAACAAAATTCTGAGGAAACCCAACCACACCAGGGATAGCCTTGGAGATAATGATCTCCAAGACTTATTATACTTGTGTGAATTACACAAAATCATGGGAATTAACAGGACCTGATCAAACAACAATTGGACACACTGGCAGAAAGACTTGAGGAAACTTTCCACCAGAGGAGGACCTGAACCTGTTCATATTTGTGTGAAAAAATTGTCACTTGTCTTCTGAGCTCCCAAGAGAACAGACTGCGTATTTTGTGTGCTGCAAAAATCATCATCAAATATTGTTGGAACTTTAAGGATCACATACACTGATGTTGAGGTATTTACCTCAGGCTGCAAACCACAGATTGTGTCCACATCATTTCTTTGCTTGATTAAATTGAGCAAAAACAATAATCTTTGCCAGAGAGGCTCATTAGCCCCTGACACCAGGGAAGTCAAAAGGTGAACAACCAGTGGCCAGACAAAGGGATGACAGGGAATTATGAGCAACTTGGTTCCTATTCAGCATTAAAAAAGTATGGCTGCAACATGCAAAAGTTAAAATGGTATTCTAACTGTATTTTGGTACACACAAAATATAAATTGACATTTTAAAGAAAACATTTCTGAATGAAGAGTTAACATTGTGTGTACTGTGGAATAGAAACACCTTCAGAACTTCTGCCCTTGTTTAATACACATTCTTGACTTTATTTTGCAGGGCTATTGTGACATTCTACCAAACTCTGGATCCTGCTTCCTGGTCTTTTGTGGGTGATGTGGTTGGGGTAAATGCAACAGCTGGCAAACTGAAGAGTGCAAGTGAATCAGATGTGCAAGTTCGTTATACCAATAACAGCAACATCAACAAGTTTGTTGGATACACCAATGAAAATACTGCAGATGTCAACTCAGTTTTAAAAAATCCCTTGGCAATTGTCACTGTGACTGATCCCTTCATCATTGGGGATGCTGTCAAGCCCATCCGGGTGTCCATTAATGGGCCAAGTCTGGTGGGTATGGAAGTTCAAGGATTGTATTCTCAGGCTGTCTCTACAGGTCAGTGCCATTATAAATGTGCAGCAGTATAAAATATCTTGAGTCTTTATTAGGACTAAAAATTATGTCATCAAGTGAAGACAAACAAAAATATATCACAAAACAAAGTTCAAAGAAAACAAGAAGCATACAAGTTTACAAAGCACATATAAGCTGAGCTAATCAGAAAAATGCATCAGAGATTTACTCTAACTAATAGAGATTCAGCAGATGTCAGCCAAATGGCAATGAATTCTATGCCAAAATACTGTCCAATAATACGATGTCCAACTATATTTCATGAGTTGAGGTGTTGCTAGGTTGATAGTAATTTCCATATGATTCTCCAAACTGTAAAACACAAAATTATTCACAGATGCGCTACAAAAACCATTGTTTATTCAGGATAAACTAATCACAAAAATGTGCTCACAGGGTGGGTGCAGACAAGTAAAATGTGAGTAAGGCATCATTTGGCTGTATGCTCCTTATTACAAGGGAATTACAAAAAGAATAATGTATTTAGGTAGACATTTACATGGACAAACTCAGCAACAGCAAAGAAGGCAACAAATGCAGCATAACCTCAAAAAACAGAAACAATAGAGATCCAAAAAAACATAATGAGAGAAATAACAGCCATCTCCATGTCTGCAAAGATTGTGTATCATAATTCATAAATGAGGACTTGTTCCATGTCGGGAAAATGTCACTAGTTCTAAATTGAGATGTTTAGTGATGACCTGGAAACACCAATGCAGGTTTTAATGCAATGTATTTGTTTTGTGAAAATCCTCATGGTTGAAGCCAGAATAGGCTATAAGTAAAAAAAAAGGTTTTTTTTAACAAAAAGCTTTAATCATCTTATTCTCATGTTAGATAGAACCCTGACATTTTTCAAAGTTCCAAAAAGTCGATGAGGATAAATTCAAACCAGCTTTTGGTTTATGTTTGATACAATACTTGGTATTTTAAAAACCGTTTTTTTCGAGTGCACATCTGAGGTGTAGTGCTGTGTTTCAGCAAGTTGGTGGCTGCTTTTCATGAAGAGTTTTTTTTTCTTGATTGGTGTTAGCAAATACTGCATTTGAATCAAATTTTTTTTAAAAATCTCATGACCCAATTTTGGTTCGCGATAAAAATTGATGTTTCAAAACTCGGTGTGCTTCCAAAGCTTTTGGTTCTAATTTGCCAACATTCTTTAGTGACATCTGAGATTGAGGCCCAGCAAATAAACATCACTCTGACTGGAACAGCATGTCCATCAAGCATCAGTGGATTTCAGGGCACTTTGGACCCAGCTGCAGTCTCATGTCTGAGGGCTGGTCCAGACGTGTCTACTAACGGCTGTTTATCGGTGACTATTTTATTATTACCACGTTTTTATGAACTCACTTTCTTGTCTAACATGGTTTTTTAGATTAATTTTTTAATCTACTATAATTATTTCTTAGTCTATCATCTTGAACGTAATGGGATCTCATTTGGCTTCTCCTTTTTGAATCGCAAAACAGGCGAGTTTGAGTTCGGGATCAGCCATAGTGGTGCGCGGGACAAACGGTGGCAATTACTTGGTCGCCCTTGCCAGAAATTACAATTGTGACTTTTCAACGAAAAGCACAACTATTATCGGTTCCTCATTTGCCTACGCAAGCCACAAGGATCAAGTTTGTGGCCTGCCTGGTGTGGTGTGTGAGGATGCATTCCCAACAACCACCACCAGCACCAGCACCACCACCACCAGCACCACCACCACTGCCGCCGCAACCAACGTGAAGACCACTGAAACCACCCCAAGGCGCCAGTCTCAAGATGAGCAGCATCAGGAAACCGGGAAGAAAAGCTTCTTCGGACTGCTCCGCATGTTTGAAAGACTGATGGGCAGCCAATGTTGAAATGCCTTATGGACAATGAGAAAATATGATTCAAAGATGAGATTTGCCTTGTTTGATTATTACCCCAATAAGGGGGTGAGCATCCATTTGCTCCCGTAATTGCGTTGAATTGTATGTTCAAAGCAAATACACGCTTTACTGTTTTGTTTTTCGTTGCAATGATGAAGTGGGTTGAAAAATAAAATGCACGTGTTTCACAGGTTTTTGTCCCGCAATGATGTCTTTTCTTTATTATCAAAAGTTGTATACTCTGTATATTTTTTTTAAATATGTTGAATCAAAAATTAAAGATGCATTACATTTGCAGAATTTTGGATAAATACCCTTACTTTGCTTCAGAAATTCACCAACACTAGATTAAAAGTTTAAAGAATTCTTTCATGTTTGTTTCGTAACCAGCATAACAAATAACCAGCATTTGATTCTTTCTGAGGATAAATCAATTGGTGACTCATTTTTGATTGGCTCCAAGGTCATGGAAAAATTGGTACAAGAAATACAAGATTCGAACATGAATGCTGTAAGAAAGTACGATTGATCATTTATATGTCAAAGATGAGTTGCGTGATATTTTCTTTGCCTTTTCCTTTGGAGTTTTCGGAACCCTTTTTCCATTTGAACCATTTGAAATTAGAAAAATCGTTTGTTGAAACAGAATCATGAACAGGAGAGGATAAAATTGAAATTGTTGCTGGTCAATTCTCAAAAAATCATTGAAAAATGTCATTAAGCATCAATTTGATGGTCAACACGATGTGATCCATTATACATATTCATGAAAGAAAAACAAAAGTTCATGCACTTTCAAACGTTGAAATTGTAGTGATTGCTCAACAGCAACTATCCTTGGAAATATTCCAACAAACTCCATGGATCTGAGGAAATCACACAATAAATACAGAAATACGTCCTTTTTGGCGCACTGCATGTTAGCAGTGAGATATTTCGGGATTTTTGAGTTCTGTTTTAGACATCAGTAAGAGTAGAAACATCAAGGCTTGTGAGATTGATCGATGGAAAGGGACGAAGGCTGGGCCCCAAAGGCAAGCATTGGATTTACAGTCGTACAAGCAGAGCATCTGTTTGTTTCAGGAAGAGAAGCGACACCTGCTCGCCACGTTTCAAACTCACTCAGTAAATATTTCAAAACTCGGGTATTGGTGAAGTATCCGCTTTTCAAAACATTTGCACAACTACAGTAAAATAGAGATCTGAAGAAAAAACTTGGGTGTAACCAATGATTGCAGGATTTGATGATCAATCATTCAAAACATGGAATCTTAAATCCCAACAACTTTACAATCGCCCCCTTCAAAGAGAACCACTTGTCACGCCAAGGCAAAAATTCCTCAAAATTTGAAGAAATAAATGTTGAAAAAAAACGCAGTGGCAACCAGTGCAAAGGCGTAATATAACTTGAATATTTTCAACACCTTTTTACGCTGTGATTTTTATTGACATTATCAGAGAATATTTTCTGAATCAAGAATTCCGATTTATGGTTCCAAAAAATATCAAGCGACCTCAAATGAAATAACAGTTCTAAGGTTGAAAAAAAAATTGAAATGAGGTGAGGAACCCTGCATGACACAAATCTTCATAACCATAATGGATGCCTTATGGTTATGAAAATTCGTGGCATGGTAACTATACATTTTCAATTACTCAAACTTTTCAAAGTGCTTGGTTGCAACTGAATAGTCATTGAAACAGCAGAAAAGCAACAAAAAACCGTCATAATGCACCAATTTGAAGGTAAACAAAGAAGGATTCATCATGAATTTGGAAAAGAAAAAAAACGAGGGTTCCTTCATATTCACGCGTTGAAATCGCAGCGATTCCATATAAGAAAAACTATCCTTGGAGTGCATAAAAAATATATACAAGTATGACTTCGATTTTATTATAAATCCTCGTTCTCTCGAATCACGTGAAATTATAAACTGTTCAAATTGAACGATATCAACCCGACGAGGATTACAAAAATTCCCGTCACAAATTCTCGTCGTCATATACGAAGTAAAAACAATGCATTTCTTCAACAGAAAATTAGAAAATTCTTGGATGAAAGAAAAAAAAAACTTGCAAATAAAATCATTACGCAATGCTTTTTTTCTTTCCTTTCAGAAATCCACTGGAGAAATCTTCGAGTTCGTCTGAGTTTATTTTTTTTATATTTATTACACACGAATAATAGATTTCGACGAATGCTCGAGCAGGTGAAAATCGGAGGGGGAATTCTAAAGAGAAATAAAATTTAAAAACAAGTATGCGTCGTATCATTATGCTAATTACCAGAGGAAATCGTAGATTTCAGCGGTTTTCCCCATACCTCTTATAAGGAGCAACTTCTCATTTCGAGTTATGCATAATTATAAACGATTTTTCCTCATCGATTGGTGTTTCTCCAGCCATTTCTGCTCTTTTCTTTTTGTGGCCTGCAATCGAAAAAGATGAAAATAATGATAGATGAAACATTATTTGGCTTCGTACTTTGATGCAATTTTCAATTGAAAAGCGCCATATTTAACGGGGGACACACAAAAAATATCCCCCAGTTAATAAAGAAATTTTTCAAACGATTCCAGGCAAGAGAATGTACAGTAGTTTTTTTCGTTGCCTTGAAATCTAACGAAGCCAATGTTTCGCCCTACTTTACACACGAATTAATTTCGACGAAATGCCCCACTTTCAGCAGGGGAGTGAAAGGGAGAGGAGTTGTTGAATAAAGGAAAAAACAAAACGTAAGCGAATGTCAGAGCTTTATTCACCTGCTTCAGAATGAGGTGGAATCACCAAAATGAAGAAAACCGAGATTCTTTTTTTTTTTTTATCGACGAAAACTCCTTTGTAGAATAGCTCGAAAAGTCTCGACTTTTCCCTCTTCATCATCTTACTGTTGGTGTATTTCTTCCATACAGTAATTTTTTGAAAAATGAAGTCATTTGATCTCGTGTTATTAATGAGGACGTTGGTTCTGATGTCGAAATCAACGACTCTGTCGACTCATACGACGCATGTGAGCATTTCCCAACAATATGAGAATCACGGATGGTGCGAATTTCAGAGGCTGTTTTTTTTTGGACTGGCGATTTGGCCGTAGTTTTTCCGTGATTTCCGGCTTTTTTAATTTTTATAAACCCATCAATGTGTGTCGGAAAAATTGAATACTGCTTCATACTAGACAAAGGACCGAGAAAAGTATGGTTGCGAGTCATAAATTTTGTGTGTGCGTGGCAAATTTGCGGAACTATGAAATTGTTGGAACTACACATCACAAAAAGGAGATGATAATATTGAAACGTTTCCTGCTGATCAATTCTCAAAATATTAGTTTAAAAATTTCAGTATGCACCAATTTGATGGTAAACAAAGAAAGATTCAAACCATATTTATGAAAGAAAAACAAGGGATTTTCAAATGTTGAAATTGTAGTGATAGCTCAACAACAACCATCCTTGGAACTATTTCAACCAACTCTGATAAAATACCACAATAAATGCAAGAATACGCCTTTTTTGGCTTGTATTAGGGAAATATTCCGGAATTCTCAGGTTCCGTTTGAGAGATCAACAAGAGTAAACAAATCAATGTTTGCAAGGTTGATGTGATGATAATTGTGACATTTGATTCCCAGACATAAAAATAGGAAAGCATCTGTTTGGTTCCCAATCTAAAGCAGAGAAGCGACATCTGGTTGCAATGTTCAAAACTCACGGGTGAATATTTTTCAAACACTGGTGTTGATGAAGTACCCATTTTCAGGAACAAATGGACAACTTTAATGGAGGCCTGAAGAAAAAACTTGGGTGTAACCAAGAATTGCAGGATTGAATATTGCCTCATAGTGGACAAAGCACCCAGAAAAGTATGGTTGCGAGTCATAAATTTTGTGCATGTGTGGCAAATTCGAATCATGAATCATTCAAAACATCAAATCTCAAATCCTGACAACTTTCTATCACACTCTTCAACGAGAAACACTTGTCACGCCAAGGCAGAAATTGTTCAATAATGTAAGGAAATAAAGCTTGAAAAAAACGCAGTGACTCCCAGTGCAAAGCCATATTATAACTTCAACATTTTTAGCACCTTTATAGGGGCATACACCAGAACTCACCCCCCCCCCCTAGCTAGAGGAAGCTAGAGGGAGCTGCAGGTATTGGTCTCACACATGGCGGCTCCTGTAAATTCTGTTAATTATCCTGGGTGAAGCGTGCAGTTTCTTACAAAATTCAAGGATGGGTATCTGGGTGTATAGGAAATTGACAGACATAAACTGAGCATATGCGGTAAAATAAAGGGACAAGTGGTAATTGAATGTAAGAGGGCAGGTTTAGTTTAAAAAAAAACCTGCATAATAAATGATAAATTACTATTTGCATCATCTAACATCCCATTAATACATGATGCCATAGCTATTTTAACAAATTCATGGCACTTTAGTAAAAAATTCATCCAACTCACAAAGGTTTCTAAGTGGTGTTACTCCTGCAGCATAAATACATTGTAGTCATATTAACAACCACAAGACCCTTCACTTTACGCACGACCCTTTTAAGCTAATGTATTTCCGCTACGCTATGCGCGTTCTTTGACCTCGGCCGGCCAAAGCTATATATACAGGTTCATTTTATGTTGCGTTAAGTTTACCGCACCGGACTCTGTCCGAACGCCAAATCTACGCCGCTTTGCTCTTGGTAGAAATATTGTATCAACTGTGTGAAGATAAATAAATAAACATTTGAAATACTCTCATGGAGTAACTTTTGCGTTTCCTTCGAAAGTCGCGGAAAACGAATTAAATCTCCGATCCCCTTTTTCATTACTTATTAGAAAGTAGTTCTCAACGACTGATCATCGTTGATCACCAACTTTCATAAAATAGTTTTTGGATAACAGCTTCTACTGTGGGATACAATATATATAAAATACCCCATTACAACCAATTTCTCAGTATAACAAACTTTTCTCAAGTCCCCAAAAGTTTGCTGCAACAAGGCTTTCCTGTAATTGGCTTGCTTGTAAACAAAAAAGCCAATTACAGGCCATTCAGTATGTCTTTTCAAGAGAGAAAGCTACAAGAAACAATTTCTTGCTAAAATCAACTATTTTTATACTATCCTTCAATTTATTCAATATTGTAGTACAGAATATAGTGTACTTCTCCTTATACAGTATTGCATCAAGTGAAAGAGTGGAGCTGTACCTTAAAATTCTGTATCAACCTTTCAATAAAAGCACACCATCAGGTAAACAAGTTTTTTTTAAAGAGACTATCTCAGTTATTGAGATGCTCTTCACTGAAAAGAATGTTGAATTAATACTACCCAATAACAAGCAAATACAGAAATTGAATTTTCAAATTCATCCTGAGAATGTGATCCTCAATGATAAACTATTGATATCCTAGGAAAAATGCTTCAACTTCCTAAATTTATGCAGATTTTTCATTCAGGAAAAAAATCTTTATGGCAATAAGTGAGTTGGCAATAAATCAAGAGTTCCCTCGAGAACACAATGGAGGGAGATTTGAACATTTAAGTCGATCTTTAAAATTCAATCTTGGCAATTTTGTGGATATGTTGCAAAGTTAGGGTTTATAATTATGACATTGACCTTGCCAATAAACAAACCAAAATTGAAAAACTGTCCAAAAACGCAAGCGAAGTATTTGTAACAGATTTCTTTCTTTCAACTCAAAGAAGGACAACAGAAAGAAGAAAACAAGAGTAGATTTAATCCCATCATCAACGGCTTTCAAGGAAATACATTAGAATCTCATTACAACAAACTCCCATGGACTGGAAAAAATTGCTGTTGTAATGAAAAATGTGTTATATCAAGACTGATGGATTTATTAACAGAAATACACTTCATCATCTGTAAAAGCATTTTAGTGTCAAAAGAACTGTAGTTGTTTTTTCTCTCCGCAATATCTGTGCCAAAAAATGTCTTTCACAAAATGGTTAAATCTGAAAATGAATCTAAAAAAGGGAAACATAACTTAACACAGAAGAGCACTGGGTCAAAAACAGATTATCACAGATTTTGGTGGGTCGCTAGGTAGGCACTGTTCTTCCAGACTCCTGAGACATTGAATATTAGATTAATCAGGATACATTTATTTTATGGGCTTCCTACCCGTCAGCTAATGTAACCCAATTTTAACTTCCTGTATTTTTGAGTGTGTAATTCTGGTGCACACATTTCCTGTCCACTATTTGGGGATGATGAGCCTCAGGAAATCATCATATGAAAATTGGGGACAAAAAATCTGAAAATCAAATACAAAATTTTAAAAGTTTGGGAAAAAATTTCGTTATAACCAGCGAGTAGTAGAAAATAAATTTGTTATAATGAGATTAATTTAAGCTGCGCCTTGAGGATAACTGCCGGGACTTGGAAAAAAATTCGTTGTAAGCAAAAATTTATTATAACGAGATTCGTTGTAATGAGATTCTAATGGATGTCTCTCAAAATTCTAAAGAAAAAATTCCTCCATCTAGAACCCCTCAAAAACCGAGGGTTTCCTTTTACATACGGTAACGACGACATAGGTGTAAACGGAATTGCCCAGCATCAAGTATCCTCCTTCTTTGCCATTCGGCCACATGACGTCGTGGGCCATGGCCCAGGCGGGCAACCAAAATAGCACAATGGAATGCGCCAACGCGTTGATGACCCAGAGCCAAAAGATGCGGAAGTTGAAGAATTGCGACTCTTGCGACATCTTGTACAACACTGGATACTTCAGCATCGTTTCCGCAGTTGAAACACGATCAAAGAGACCAAGTGCAAGAGGTGGTGCTGCAGTGAACAACTGCAAATTAAAAAACAAAATGACAAGGGTTAATTTTTTTTTGGAGGGGTACAATATTAAAATTTTAAAAACGGGGTTCTTTTGACAAATATCACTTATCACAACACGAGAAAAACATGCAACACATTTTCCTAATCTAGGAAAGCATTTTCTTCATTGCACAAACGACTCGAGGAAAACTTCACCATTCGCTTATTTCCAACACAACAACGTACTCAATCAAAATATTCAAATTTAAACTGGACTTTTCTTCAGCGCATACGCTCGATTTTCCAGGCTCCACCAATTTCCTTCGTATCACCCAGATGTCGCCTGACCTAAATCAAGTTCATTTGCAACTAAATTCGGAACACATTACTATGGTGAATTGGGCGACTTCGGGTTGAGAGCAGGCGATTATTCTGTTTCTTTTCTTTCTTAAATCACGTCAATGCACACACAAATTAATGCAGTCCAACCTCTTCATGTCGAACTCCAGGGGACCAGCAAAAAGTTCGGGTCACGGAAACAAGCATTTCACCAGGGAAAAGAAAACATAAATAAACAAAATTGAAATTGGTGATATTCTGGGCCTTGAATTGCTTCATAAATGAGTTGACAGGATGCTGAACTCGGATACAAGGGTTAACTTGCCTAATTAGTCCTTTACTTCCTTTCAAAACACATCAAATTACATTCATACCGTTGTTCTCTTTCTTGTGTCAATAAAATATTTGCCAAAAGGCCTCCAAAAAATTCTAGTTATGGAGGTTTGAGGAAGAAAGCCTTCGAGTTTGTGAAGCTTTCCAATGTATTGTTTCACACGGAATTCAGACAGAAACTAGACACACAAAAAAAAAACAGGTTCAAACGCATCGCGGGAAACGGAATAATCGACTTCGGATTCGATCCATTTCTTCAACCCGATAATGAAATGACAAATACGTTCATTCCAGAAACTCACCACGTTGTACAAGCCGATGCACCAGCGCTCAAACAAGGTTTGCCCGCTCCACGCCGACCAAATGGCGTACCACAACTCAATCACGTACAGGCAAATGTTTTTGTAGAACGAGTACAGAATCAACTTGCACATCCGGTGGTAGCACCAGTTCCCGTGCACGAAAAGCAGCTTCCGGAGGAACCGGAACTGCGCAACCGCGTAATCCGAGTTGCAAACAGCTTGCATTCCTTCTTGACCAGACACACCCACACCCACGTGGGCCCTTTGAATCATCGCCACGTCGTTCGCACCATCTCCTACTGCTAATGTCACCTGTAAAACAAAAGGCGTTTTTCAAGAAAAGTCCAACTAAAGTCACAGGACCGATTGCAAAATACAACTTTTGAACATACAGGTACACTGAATGCACGCTGGCATTAATCACCGCAAACATCATTCCAACGCGTCAATTACGTCATTTCTGCTTTAACCAAACACATAAAATGGAAAAATCATGGCCATACAAGAATCCAATCCCCTCCATTTCCTTTAAAACATTTTCAGATGCTTGAATCGTCACCTGAAACAAGTTAAAATGGATCCCGAATGAACAGTACAATCTCGTTATAACGAACAATCGATTACAACGAAGTCGTATTTTAGCTCCCTGCCTCATAGACACAATGTTCAAAGGGTTTCGTACCAATGAAATTATTTTATTGGTCCCGGTAGCTTCGTTTCAACGAAATTTTACTGCGCTACAACAAATATAAGCGACCAAGGAAAACACAATCAAGCAGCAGGGAATCTAGGAAGATGCACTGTACTCACGATATTGTAACTAGCTGAGATTTAAAAACCTAAGCCAAACAAAATTTTCACAATTATTGCACCCATAAATAAATTAATGCCACAAAAAAAACAGGGAATACAATATTTATCATAAAATACTGAACATTATTTAAAATTTTCTCTATCACCTGGGCTAGAGAATAACTTTTCCTTTTATCTATTTCTGAATATTGTACTGGACATAGTTTTATTTTGTTAAAGTCAGGAACGACTGCAAGGAATGATACGAATAGCAAAAAAAGTGACGCAGAAAGTATTAAAACGGTAGCAATAACCAAAAAGTCGAGAATTAGAAACGACATTCGCAAAAAATTTCAAAAATTATTGTAGATTTTAAGATTTTCGCGACTTTTGGATGTTCTCGTCGATTTTTCACGTAAAATAACAGGGATGCCACAAGACGAACTCACTGCGTTGGTTCCCTGGACGAGCAAGTCCACAACCTCGGCTTTCTGAATCGGCGACACTCGACAGCAAACGACAGCGCGACACGACACACACAAATCCAAAAAGTCGGTCCTCATGTCGTGACTCAAAGCGTACTTGAGCGTACGTCCATCAATCACCAGGGCACAATGATTCTCCCGCTTCAAATGCTCACCAAACTCGTGAACATGCTTCAACAGAGTCTCTCGAGTCGCCTAAATAACACAAATATTGTATATTACAGTGGCCGCTACAACATAAACGCGAAAAAAGAAGAGAAAAAGCATAAAAAAAACTGAAAGTCTTGAAAAAATCGGAACTAGTTCAACAAAGTTCAGCAATCCGCTCTCTTAAATTTTTTAAAATTTACTTCGACAGTTTTTTTTTTTTTTTTTTGCAGGGGACATAAAACAAACGAAGAAGTACAGTTGAAACTCAATGACTCTAACATCCTCAAGTCGAACTTTCTCAAGTCCCTTCTCTGAATTCCCAAGGAAATGATGCATTAAAAACCTCACTAACTCTAAGGCTTCCCCCTCAAATCTCCGTAACTTGAATTTTCTGGAGGCCTTTTAGCTAATATTTTATTGACACAGGAAAGATAAAAGCAATAAAAATTTAACTTGACGGGGTTTGAAAAGAAGGGAAAAAAAATTGAGTAACTGAACCCTTTCCTCCAAGTTCAACATTCTGTCCACACCTTTAAAAAGCAATTCGAGGCTTAGAAAATCACCAATTAAAATTTTTTGCAATTCTTCTCACTTCCCCGTAACAAAAAATGTTTACGTCCCACACTTGAATTTTTTTTAAGGTCCCTTGAAGTTCGACTTCATCAATAACTCCACCCAATCTTCAATTGAACTAGTCTTTTTTTTTTAAATCAACTACAGTATTTTCATTTGAGCTCATTTTAGGCTCGTCATCTCCAACATCAATGAGGATTGACCCAGAATACCGCATAAAAAATTATAAATTAATTCAGGCTTCAAAAAGTAATTTATTGTACTCACATCCAAGGAATCCTCGTTGACGATGAGGAGAGCCATCGTCGGGTCGATCAGTTTGCACGAGTAAGCGATATTGATGGCTGTTTCTTGCTTGTCGCCGGTAAGGATCCACACGTGGATGTTGGCAAGCAGAAACGCGGCTATGGTTTCAGGCACCTGATCCTGCAACTTGTCTTCTATCCCAGTTGCTCCCAGCAAAACCAAATCCTTTTCAATCAGCTCAGCCGCATCCGCAACCTTCTGCTCTCTCATGTGCATCGAAAGCCTCGCTTCTTCCATTCTGTAAACCGAAAAAAAATAAATCAGCTACAACGTATTTGAAATATACGGTACTTCTTCCGAAGGGCAGAGTTTAGAAATAAAAGAGGCTCTTGAAACACGACCTTCCTCATACCCATTTATTGCTTCGAGTGAAAATTTCAATAGCAGTCGAACTTCAAGGGACCAGCAAAAATCGAGATATTGAGGTTGGGAAACAAGGACTTTGTTCGGGGAAAAGAAACAAGAATTACAGGAAATTTTAATTGGTGATATTCCGGGCCTTGAATTGTTTCTTAAGTGAGTGCACAGAACGCTGAACTTGGAGGAAAGGGTTCATTTGCCTATTTGGCCATTCACTTCCTCTCAAGACACATCAAATTACATTTTTATTGCTTTTCTCTTTACTGTGTCAATAAAATGATAGCCAAAAAGCCTCCAGGAAATTCGAGTTTTGGAGGTTTGAGAGGAAAAAGCCTTTGAACTGAGGTTTCTGATAAATTGTTTCAAACGGAATTCAGACAGGGACTTAAAAAAAATGATTCAACACATGACGGTTCAACGGCACTCGGAAATTCGCACACAAGTTTTCCAAAATAACCACTAAGCACGTCAAACCTTTGTTTCCACTCGTCGTATCTCGCATCGGGAATTTCTGCCACGGCACAACACAGCGTTCGAAGACCCTCAGTGGCGAATGATTCCAAATGCCGCAGAGTTTGAAGACTCAACTCATCCTGTCCCCCGCGAAGTCGCTCGTAAATGACCGTGTCAGCTCCTTTGCAATACAGCTTAATCTTCCCATTCGGCGCTTTCACAATCACTGACATCCGCTTCCGGTCCGAATTGAACTCCAGCACGTTCAACACTTCGAATCTCTCGTTACCGTGCATCGTACTAATGGTCACGTGATGCGGGGTTCTCGTGGTGAATACGTAGCCCAAGCGTTTCGCTCCATTCACCAGCGCTCTTTCATCTGAACGATGTCAAATAGGGTAATAGAATTATTCACTTGACTCGCTGTAAATCCACTTGCGAAGAGTCCTACAGTATTGATGCCTACTCAGGATATTCCTTTTTTTCTCCAAGAATACCGCCCACTTGTACTCTTTTGACCAATACACAATTACAAGATTTAAAGAAAAGAATACCATACACGTCAGATATCCCAACCCTGACACACAAGGGGTCCATCAAAACTTCTCGGGATAAATGATTGAGCTGAAAAACAATTATTGTTCAGAAAAAACATCAATTGGCCCAAGAAAAAAATGCAACCCTGCGTGACATATTCTTTAGAAAATTTTTGCAAGTCAGCCTAGCACCATTCTGATCTTCACTCGTGAGATGATTTGCTCATCTTAGAAATGTTTGGTACAACCAAGCTTTTCTTTCAGAATTCTTGAAATGGACAAGGCATGAATTCCAAGGGTTGCCCCTCCAGGCCTTTGAAAGAAATTCTGGCATGTTACTCAACAGTCGCCACATTCTTATCCCAAGTGGCGGTTGTTAATGAAAATTGCGGATTTAATAATCAAACCATGGCTGTAACCCTTGAAATTAATGCCATCTCAATTTCGAGAATTCTGAAGGGAAAACTGAGAAACACTAACAAATCTGCGAGAAGGGCGCCTCGTCTGCTGAGTGAAGAGCAGAAAGCTGCCAGGGTGGCTTAGGCAACAAAAATAATCACAAAAAATACGTCACACTGGGCTGAATTTTGTTTATTTTGTCAAAGAATGGTTTTCGTGAGAGCAATAATGTTTTTCAGCTCAATCATATGCCATTTCAATTTATAATCCGAGAAAATTGTTGGACCTCTCGTACAAATTTTTCATACTCTACAATCGGAATACATGATCAAGCCATCAAATAAACTTCAGCTCCATTCTGGAAAATACTGTAAAATATTCGTCTGATATTTTCGCTAAAAAAAAAAACTATTGTTAAGAGGAAAAAAATTGCATCCAGAAGCTCAAAAACACTGACCAGGAGAAGCAGCCTGATACTTGATCTCGCCCAAAGAATCAATCTCAGGAATGACCGTGTGACAAACGGCCAAAAGCGTCATGAATTCCTTCAGCAAAATCGCATCCGATCCTCCACCCTCTTTGAGTCTCTGCGGAAAAAAAAGACATTCAAAAATTTAAAAATATTTTGCCCGGTATTTGGAGAATTTGTTACAATCAGAATGAAGATTGGTCACCTTACTAAGCGCGTCGTCATCCACATGATACACATTCCCGGCGACAGAGCACTTTTTATACTCCATCACGTTCTTCGTCAGCGTTCCTGTTTTGTCACTGAGGATATACTTGACTTGGCCGAGCTCTTCGTTCAGATTCGAGGTTCTCGCCATAGCACACATGTTCGACTCTTCGTGGTACATCTCCACATCATAATTGATCATAGTGGCTTGGATCAAGCGCACGACTTCAATAGTGACTTGCAGCGAAATCGGGATCAAGTTGTTGTACAAGATGATGAACGTTAGCAAGTTGAATCCGAAATTGGATATGACTATGTCGTCGAAGCGGAGGTACCACGCAGAACTCAGGTACGAAGCTGACCAGATTTCGGATGCCACAGCAGAAATGACGCAGATGACGATGAGAAGGAAGAAAAGCCAGAGGATTTGCCCATTCGTCACTTTATCCACAGTCGATCGTTTCAGCGGAGGGAAGGAAGAATTCTTCATCAGCTTCGTATCGTGTCCGGTGTAGATCACTATTCCGAAAACCCACATGGTATTCCGCAATTTCGCACCACGAAGAAGCATTTGCTGAGGTCCGAGCGAATGAGCTGGCTTTCCCAATTCTCGCAACGTGCCCACGAACTCGTACAAGTGACGATTCGGAGACTCGCATTCCACAGTGCACACGAATCTGTTCAGGTCCTTTGGTTCTAGAAGTTTGGAAGTATGTGCTAAACCCTGGCGCACCTTCAAGTTAGTTTCACCGTCCAAATTCGACGTTTCAACGTAAGCCATCGCATTAGGTTCACTGGAAGATAGAAGTACGAGATCTGCCGGGAACAGAGAGTCGTTTCGAACTCGCACCATGTCGCCGACTTTCAGCTTCGACCACCGGATCCATTGCCAATGATAGCCCTTCAAGACTTCAACTTCCTGGACATTCACACGCCTATCAGCTGCATGGCGTCTCTACAAATTTCATAGAGGGAATCACTAACACTTGCGACTTGAAGAAAACTGAGCTGATGCGTAAATAGCCAAATCAAATAGTTCAGCTGAAAGCGAAGAGCATATTATGAAGCTGCATGTAGCAAGAACTTGAAAACTTCAGAATACTAGAATCATACGAGAATGAAGAAAACCACGACTCACAATGTCCTCGATTATTTCCTTAATAGCTGAGATAAACAGTATGAAGAGCAGCGGCATGAGAGTAGTGTAACGACCGGTTGGAGATACATCGGGGATTTGTTGCAACAAGGCGATGAACAGAAAGAAGCAATTCGAGTATCTTCGAAATTGTTCAAACAGGAACAGAGGTAGGAAGGATATGAGGTTGTATTTTGCCGTCGACACACGATTGCTGGTGTATTTTTCGGGCTGAGGTCGGTTGACGAACACAACTCGGAGATCCGCATGCGCTGCTTGTGGATCCGGCGGTGCGGAAGAAGTCCCATCTTCTTCTGCAACAAATTATTCCTATTTCAAAGTTCACGTCGAAGAAATGCTGCCTTTGACTTTAACGTATGAAAAACGTGAGTACAATATTGTAAAGGGAAATGCTTACGTTTCCATTATTCCTCGAAACTGAACCCTTAATCATGTGGAAAACCATTTCTTTGGAACAAATGCTGCTCTAGAATTCTCCATGTGCATACGCCAGTTCTATATGCAGTACTGTTTACCAAGCGCATTATCATTCCGTGGATACATCATAATTCTTCCCCATTTTAATTCAGAAGCATGATCAACCTGACCACAAACCTTGCCGGATGTCACGGAGGAGTCGTGTTTGGATCCAGTCGCCCACATTCCCCAAGTACCTGCCAACTACGTTCATTCTCAAGTTCACTTCATTCTATACGCTGAATTCTCGTCACACAGTTCTTTCCCTGAAGCATAAAGAATACGTTTACGAAGAATCCAATCGCGGCACATGCAGGTGAGAGTTAACGTCTTACAAACATAAAATTCGGAGGATTCGTATTTGCAATTCCAACGGTATGCGGGTATGCCATATGCTGCGGCGCATCACACGGCATGATTCATAACCACAACCCAAAAATTACACTTCTTTGAAGATCACGAGAATAGTACATACTGTACTTCTTATTGCAGGGGCATGTAGGATGTGCAACATAAGCCAGATTAGTGAACTTCCTTGGTTGACGAAATACCTCAGAAATATGCAATGAGGCTGTGAGACAGAATGTGGAGATTTTCGAAGCTCGGGGAGTTGGGGACATGTAAATTACAATATTACAGTGATCCCTGAACTACAATCACTCCGGTAGCAGTCAGGATCTACTGCTGCCACCATCTATCCGTGCACGAACATTCTCTTTTACTTCCTGTCCTTACTGAGTACTGTATACTGACACATGCTTCCGATTCCATCCTACAGCGCCCAAATCGCTGTCTAACACATATCGCCGTGACGCGGCGATTCCTTCAACCGAAACGGAGTTTTTAGGCAGATTTGGGTCATTTTCAATGTCAACACCTCACGTAGATCATGATGATTATAACCGTACGAATTTGTCAGCGGAGTCACATATCGCCGTGACGCGGCGATTCCTTCAACCGAAATGGAGTTTTTAGGCAGATTTTGGTCATTTTCAATGTCAACACCTCACGTAGATCATGATGATTATAACCGTACGAATTTGTCAGCGGAGTGGTAGATTGGGCATTCAAGAGCGACACCTAGGTGACATAGTGCGCGAAGTGCTGTTGTGGCGGTTGGATAACTGATCATAAGCAGCATTTTCACAAGTTTTACAAATCAAGAAGCTGAAAATCATTTTAATGCACGTAAACTCATATCCTGTTCTGAAATGGTTTGTTCGAATTCGTGCTGATATTGATTCTGATCTGCAACACACCACTCATTATTTGATGCTCGATATTACTGTAATTTGTAGCAAACTTGATTTAGAGGAAGATAATTTATTGTGAAAAGTCCAAAGTCACCAAAACGATGCATTTTTTTTTGGAAACTCAGGTCGCATTTTCAAACTGTTTTTTGATCAACCTGAGGGTGCATGCAACATGTTGATGATATATGCTATAGATGTGAGTACAGTATATACATTTTTAACATTTTTCATGATTATGTCTGATATAGGAAATTATTACGTTCACAATTTTATTGAAGCCCATCATGGAAACAAATTAATATCCAGAAATTCTCTATATTTTATACCTGCATGGGTTTTCCAGTATGAATAATTGAGTGAAGGCCAAGCATTTTGTAACAGCAACCCTATAAAGAAGAAAATACACATTTTGTAGATACCAGGATATACTTCTTGTCATAAGCATCATCCCCATTTCAATTTTTGGTACAGAGACAAATCGAAATACAATCGAATTCCCCTGTGAGCATGTCAATTTCGGATTATCACAATAAATACTGCTTGTCATATTTTCTTGCTCCAACGAGATATTCCGAAATCATAAAAAAAATTTTGAAACTTGAGAAATCCAAAACTGGGAAGCCATTGATGTGTTGTGGATCTTCTTCATGCGCCATTTTGGAGGCAGTTTTGATTTGAAGTCTTTTGGAAGAGGATAACCTTGATATTCATCCAGCACTGAAACATGAGAATATTCAAGTATGAAAACACATTTAACAAATATGACACATAAGGAAGATTTTTTGTTAGCTAAGACAGGTTGAAAAGTTAACATGGTCCAACTGTATTGCCATTTTCAGGTCCAATTTTGTACATTGTCTTTTAATTTTGATTGAGTTCTGAAATATTTTGTGCACAAAAAATACTGTAATATACAACCCTTCAAATGCATTCACCTGCTGCTGCTGTAACTGCTGCTACTATGGCTGCCCAAATAACCTAGGTTCCAGCCAAGATTATTACCCCTGTAACTCCAAGGATTGGCAACACTTGGGCTGCTTGCCTCCTTACTTCCTGGTGTAATTTTCTTCCCAGTCTTCTGCTCATGTCCAAGTGAACTCAGCTCAAATGGGAAATCATTAAAATCAAAATCCTGCCAATGAAAGTCCCCAAAGTCAAAATGATCCTTCTTCATGGGTATTTGCTTCTTATTATTCACGGCCTTCAAGTGCTTATGAACATGCTTGTGTTTGTGTTCATGCTTGTGAACCAACAGCTTGCCATTTCTGTAAATTGAAAAAAGGAGTCACTTTCTGCAAGATTTTGTATGTTAACCACATGGGTTGTCCCAATTGTGCGCAACCTCTGGCACATTTGGAGCTAGATGTGATTGTTAAAAAAAATCATGACATAGAGTCCATGATGTTCTAAGGTTCTGGGATTCTTCCTGGTTTTTGGAAAATGTTTTTGAATTTACTGATAAGAGGAAACTTTCCAGTTACAGTCAAAGTTTTCAATCTATGTCACACATTGCTAAAATTTGTATAAGACAAGCTAAAAAAAGAAAATCATTGTTATTTTACCCATTATTACAGGTGGTGCCCAGAAATTTGACCCTAACTTGATGCTGGGTAAGGGTCAAATTGCAAATCAGTCAAATTGTAACACAATTTCAAATTCAATATTTACTACATCAAATCTGACATTCTGAGCCTCTCTGCAGGTCAAATTGTGGGGCAAGAGGTCAAATGGCAAGTTTACCAATCCCATCAAATTTGACCATCCAATTGCAGAACAGTCAAATTGCAAGGTACAACCTGCATCTTTTTGACTCTTCAGGTTGGCAAACACTAAGTTAGGTTGGCAAAACATTGATCTATGCTTTGATCAACCCAGCAAATTCGCATTAACATTTTTGCACACTGTCAAATTTCCAAAAAATGTCTGCACATGCTGGCAAAGTTAAAAAATGTTTTGCTTGAAAGGCTTTATGGCAGGTATTTAAAAGGTTTGGTCTTTTTTTTTCAAATCTGAGAACCACTGAAGCAGCTATATTTGGTGGAATGTCTTCAAAGAATGAGGAAGTAAGTCTTGAATAAGGGTTTCTCAGAATGAAGAAAATTTAAATACAATAATTTATTTCAACTGGTAAATTTGCTTCAAGTGTGGGGAACCCTGGCTTTAGAAAATTGATTGTAAGAATTCCATTGCTAGCTAGCCTGAGACATTTTTAGCACCCTCTGACATGGCTGGACAACCCTGGCTGCAACTGGAAAGTTTTCACTTATCATCATGCAGTAAATTAAAAAATCTTTTTTTAAAATCTCCCAAAAAATCTCAGAACCATCATGGGGTATATATATTATGATTTTTTCTCACAATCACAGCTTTTCCAAAAATATCCAATATTTCTTCCAACTGGGACAAGCCTTGTACAATAATACTTACTGCCCACAACAGCCGTTTGAGTAAACTGTGGCTGATGAGCTGGAGAAACTTGCGTGAGGAGACGTTTTCACTTTCACTAGAGGAGAACAGGCACACAAGCTGGCGATACCAACTATTTTCAGTAAGATTTTCCACATCACCTTCAAAAAAATGAACCACATAAACAAAAAAAAATCTGCGGATCAGAACAATAAAAAAATAAATACATCTTCAACCTGAAATTGCTGGACATATATACACAAGCGATCGTCATAAAATTCGGATGAGCCCCACTTATTTTGATGAGCAGCATGGAGAGAAATCACAGAAGCAATCTTCATTTCATGACCAAAAGCAGCTTTGATTTTTATATGAGGTAATCCTTTCAATCACTATTTGCCTATATGATCTTTTCCCTTTTTTTTTGCAAAACCTCAAATTTTCAATTATATTTCCTAAAATAATCGTCATAAAATTCGGATGAGCCCCACTTATTTTGATGAGCAGCATGGAGAGAAATCACAGAAGCAATCTTCATTTCATGACCAAGAGCAGCTTTGGTTTTTATATGAGGTATAATCCTTTCAATCACTATTGCCTATATGATCTTTTCCCTTTTTTTTGCAAAACCTAAAATTTTCAATTATATTTCCTAAAATAAATGGCACCCAGCAGTAAAACAAAAATCATGAAAGGCTATAAAGATGAAACAACCTGTTTCCTTGAAGAGATACTTTATTTTCTCAGAATCAATTTTCAAGAAAATTAAAATGAAGCTCAATATCACAGCTTGATCATTCTGGAAGATGAAATCTTTGTTTTTGAATAGTTCAATTGAGGCTTTAGTTACTTGTGTTGCAAATTTTTTCCAAATGTATTCCTCCCATAGACAAACATTTTATGCATTTTTTATTTTACAATATTCAAGAGTTTGAAGAACATGGATGCTCCTTAAAATTACGTTTGTGTTGAATGAGAATGAATCACTGGATATATACAGTATACATTTGATGGCAAATGAGTTATTTGTCATATTTAAAGTTTTTTTTACAGTTGGGGTTCTTTTGATTTTTGAAGTGTTAATGTTTTTTGAAAGCATTTTATGTATAAATTTTCTTTAGAGTTATTCAATCAGACAAAGTTTGTCAAACTGAAGAGAAATGAATATCATCAAGCCTACCTCAATATCTGAAAAGCTTTTCAATTTGGACAGTGAATTCCAAATTAAATGCAATATTGGCTAATAGATTTTATGGTACCTCACAAGGGATTAATGAGTTTTTTTCTGGCATGAAACAAGTAGATTCATCATTTTCTGATTTTGAAATTTGTTTATATATTCTGGATGTGGAGTCAAAAATTGCAAAGTTGGACAAACCAACTCTGAAACTTCTTCAGATATGCTGATTATGGTTCCTCAGGTATTTTACTTCAAGATTATTGATATTTAGGAAAGTGTCATACACAGCATATAAGGACTGACAAACTCAAAGGATGAATCTCCAAAATCTTAAATTTTACTCTGACTGTCTTTGATCACATGAACATTTATGGCAAGTGGCATTTAATTTATAATTGAGTAATTTTCATGCAGACTTCCGCATGACTTGATATTTTTTTCTGCAGGTGTTCTTTTTCTGAAGTTATACTCCCCAGAACATTTTTTTTCCTGTAGAATTTTTTTATTCCATGAGACTATCAGTGTGTCTATCCATGTTGTAACACAGTAGTTTTCTTCCATAAAATTCTCTTAAGTACACATTTTTTTCTGATCCCTTGAAATTTTTTCTGCAAGGGATAACCTGTATTTGTCATGTCTTTAATCAAATTCTGCTTGACTGATTTTTGGGTCAGAATAATTTGTTCAAAGGTTAATACAATGTGTTGCTTGACAATAATCTGGAAAAGTAGAGAAGACTCATGGATAAGTGAAAGAATTGGCCAGTTTTTATCTTCAGTTGTTGGAATATTGGTGGGATCATATATTAATACTTCCATTTTTATTTCACAGAAAAATAGGCATAAAACTTGCATATAATCTTTCAGTCACATTTCTTGAAAATAAACAATTGTTTGAGTTGAAGAATATTTTCTGTCATTGGTTTTCCAAAGTCATGCCAACATTTGAGCTCCTGCATCAAATCATTAAATTTTCTTTGTTCAAGGGAATGTAGAATTTGTTCCATCTTGTGCTCATCATTGGTATATAATTGATTGCTAGGTTTTTGTACAGAAAAAGTCACTTCTACAGTAAAATCTTGTTACAACAAACTTTTGGGGACTTCAGAAAAAGTTTGCTGTAACAAATAATTTGTTATAACAAAATTTCGAAAATCATTAAATCAATTGAAGATTTTACTCAAATTAGACCTACATATGTTTAACATCTTCCATTTGTAGCCTTTTCAGATGTTATTCAATGGTTAAAAAATTGTGATCTTCAAAAATAAATGTAATTGTTAATGAAAAAAAAACAGATACTCTGAATAACAGTTAAATACTAGCAAACTTTCTTGACTAGGTTTTTTTTTTAGAAATTCATGCAAAGATTTGTAAGGGTGAATGTTCCAAAAATTGCTGACAAATTTAACATCGCTTGCATTTCTCAAGCATACAAACCTTTTTAATATGAGTATTGTTGGGCTCATTTTTTCCATTTAACTGCCCCTCCCACCATCATTCCTAATGGAAGAATAATTTTTGAAAGAGGATTTTTAGGTGAACTTTGAAGAATTTTTGTGCGATGTTCCACCTTATGTCCCAAGAACCAGTTACCAGTCACATTTGAAATGGGAAATGTGAGGCTGTGCCTGCCTCCATTATACAGATTTTTCATTAAGAAATCATAGAATGTTCCTCAAAAAAGTTTGTTATATTGGAATTGTCAGTTTGTTGTAATGAGATTTTTATAACATGCACCCTATAGGATATCTGCCAGGACTTGAAAAAAGTTTGTTATACTGAAAAATTTGTTGTAACGGTATTTGTTGTAACAAGATTTTACTGTATAAAACTTTGGCATTTCCAGATTGTAGATGTCACTGCTTTAGGTGCTTAATTTCAACATTTTTTTTTCATTATGGGGTTTTTATAGTGACCGCTGTGTGACTTGTGTGCTGCTGTCAGTTTATTACTTCCCACTTTTCCTTATTTATTAGCTAAGATCAAGGTTTATTGTCTGCTCTTGTGGTGACTCTTATATCCTGTATACAACATGAAAATTGCAAAATCCAAAGATTACCCACTAGCAGATGATCATTGATGAAGTTCAAAACCTCAGCAAATTTTAGATCAAGTTTTAGTGCCTATTTTCATGGTGATTTATGTTTCTGTACTATACAAACAGTGTGAAATTCAAACATGACCCCATCACATGTGATCATTAAAGAAGGTTGAAACCGCAGCAAATTTTTTTTTTTAAATCGTATATTACGATTTTTCAACCCACAAAACCCATGAAGTAGACTTAAAATTCGAAAATAATGCCCCAATTTGTGAGATTTCCCTTGAGTAGAAACCTTCTGAAAAAGAAGCAAAGAAAATATTAAAGAATACTATTAAAAAACAGATATGGTCAAAAATTATTTTTTAAACATCCCAATAAAGCATATCTTCCTCCATTGTACTAAAGTTGAAGAATGTAAAAATTTTTCAATTTTGGATACTATTATAATTTTATACGCGTTCACGATCAAATTTTTATTGATAAAAGCGTAATTTTACTGATATCATTGAGAAAGGAATCAAATTAATTTACTGCATAAAAATTGAATTCAACCTGATCAGAAGGAAGGAAGCAAAATTTTTGATCACAGGTGCAATAAATGTTTTATTTTAAAAGGCATCAATTCAACTGATAAAATTTTGAAACAACTTAAAAGGAACTGAACAACCAAAGCATAAAAAATTCTCTTCAGGAACTATTTTATTTTTTTGTCCTGCTCCATTAATCAAGCATTTGTGCATGAATTAAAATGTTCAGCCCCATTTTGACATTAGTTTTAATCCGCCTCCTTTTTATATTTTGATTTTCCACTTTTGTGGGATTTTTCAAATGTCTACAAGATGAGAAGAAAAAGGCAGAGCATATATACTTACATTTTGGTCCAAAATACTGAGATTAAAATGATCTTCATGGTACATAAATTCATTGCAAAACCACTTTAAATTTTGTCCAAATTTTTGGATTCACTCCAAAATAACGGGACTGTTAATTAAGAAAATTACACTCGCTTTCATGATCAAAACAATTACGATGGTAATCAGGGAATGACATAATGATCTTGGAGAATTGCGATTTTTATCGCAATTGGGCAATATTTCCTGAGAAAAATTTCAGTTGCAATTGCGGAATTGAGTTTTCAATTGGCATTGCTGTGACAATTCTGCTCTTGAATTATCTGGCGAAACGAAATAATTATCACAAATTTTGAGAAAAACTCAGAGCAGGCAAATTCTGAACAGAAATACAAGACAGAAAAATTTAACAAATATCAACTGATTAAAACCAAGATAAGACAGGAGTAATGTGTTTATAAAATTCATGTTTCAATTCATTTTTCAATTTAATGAACGTTTCTTTCAGCCCCGGCAAAAACTCGATAGATATAATTTTTTCAAAGGATAACTCAATGGATACAAATTTTTACGAAATTGAGAAATAATGCTGAGATCCTAAATTCAACCATAAATTACATTTAAAAAACTGCTTGGTCACTTAGATTGCGATGAATCCAAATTTTAACAAGTCTGATCGAATTTTGCTTTGAGTTATCCAGTTTTCATGTGCTTTGGCAGAACTTAAATCTTTTTATTGAACCTTGAAATATATTTGGCCCTTAAAGTTCATGATGGGTTTCATACAAGTATACATTGTATATTTGGCAATCAACTTTTCTTGCAGAATTTCTGACAGATTTTTTTTTAAAGTTCATTTTAATTGTGAAAAAGTTTATCGTGAACATTTTGAATTAGGTGGTCTCTTTCTAGAGCAATCTTGTCCATTACACATTTTCTGTGTAACGCATTTTTTAAGGGGTTTCTGCCCATGCTAAAACTGTTTGCAACAATGCTACAAACTCTGTAACAGTTTTTTTTTCTGGCCCTGAAGGGTTCTCTTTTTAAAACCATTGTGCGGCAAAGTTTGGATAGTTTTGCAAAATTTTGCCCAAATGCGGGCTGCAAATTAAAGAAATATGATTGTTGAACCAAGGCCTAAGTTGGGGAAAAGTGCAGAATTTTTTTATAATCCTGCAGAAAATTTTGGCTGAGAAAAATTTATCCCTGATTGTCATTTTTTAATGCGTTCCCAGCATAGGTTTAACATTGAGGATTTCTTGAGACAATTGGATTTTCTGTAATACAGGTGTTAGGGGTTTCCCCTGTTCCATCAAGACCTCTTTTTGCAAAATGTTGTCCCCATGAGGTTCCAAAATTTAAAAAATAGGATTTTTGAACCAAGGCCTGAGTCAGGAAAAAGTGTGATATACTTTTATAATGCTGCATAAAATTTTTGATTTCTTGAGACAATGGGATTTTCTGTACCTGTATTTTTCCTGCCTCAGGCCTTGGCAACCTGGGGGAATTTCAATGAACTTTGGTCAAACTGAAATGTCCCCATGGAAAAATCTCAACTTTCCCACAGGATGGCCAGGAACCCTTTGCTGTCCAAGAGTTATATGTTACAAGGTGTCTGTACATTGAGCAACATATTTCTCATGGGTCCCTTGATGATTTTTGTTGCACCAAGAATTCATCATTCACTTTCCACTTTCTTTGGAAAATTTTAAACTTTCTAATAGCACTTTTCAGCATTATTTGACCCTAAAGATCATGGATTTCATTTATTTGACAATGAACTTTTCTTGTAGAGCGAGTTTCTCTACAGAAATTGTATCTACAATGAATTTTCCTCATGGGTCCCTTGACTTTTATTGCAGCAAGAATCAATCATTCACTTTCCACATTATTTGAAAAATTTGAAACTTTCTAATAGCTTATTGCACTTTTCAGTATTATTTGGCCCTATAAGATCATGTATTTCATATATTTGACAATGAACTTTTATTGTAGAGTTTTTTACAGATTTAGTTTCCATGAAAGATATTTTTCATTGTGAAAAATAACGATGTAAAATATTTGACACAGGTGGAGTTTCTCTGCAACAATTGTGTCTACAATGAATTTTCCCTGTATAATGCCTTTTTTGCACCATACAGTTTTCTTCTGATGTTAAAAGGATTCTCCATAAATAATTATCTCTAAAAAATTTTTTTATGCTTCTTGAACTTTGTTGCAGACAGAGAGAGAGAGAGAGAGAGAGAGAGATCACCAATCTCTTTTTCACATGCTTTGGAAACATTGAGCCTTTTCATATCACTTTTAAATACTATTTGACAACATTCATGGGCTTCATGTACAGTATTTGGCAGTCTTGCATAGTTTCTTAGATATTAAAAAAAAAGAGAGCTGATTTTTATTGCAAAAAACAATTTAAAATTTTTCACATTTGTTGGAAACTCTCTTTTTACAAAAATGTTCTCTACAAAAAAGTTCTCTTCATGACAACGACATTCTTGGTTCCATAAATTTTTCTCCTGATGCTAAAAATGTTCTCCACAACAACAGTCTCTCTCCAAAATATGTTTCTGGTCCCGAGAATTTTGTTGCAGAGAGCAAGAGAGAGTCCACCATCATCACGTTTTCACAAACTTTTGAAAATCGAAACTTTTTCAAAGCACTTTCAAATATCATTGGACACTGCTCAAAGTGTGTGGGTTATTTTTATATTTTGCCACCAGTGGTTGCCGGCATGGCGATGGGCCGTCAACTGAAGAGTCCCACGCGTTGGTCCGAGCAGCACCAGTAGTGCAAAACCAGACCCGGACTGGGGTTTTTGGGATTCAGTTTTTTTTTTTTTGCCGACCGGAGGCGCGGGAAACTGCTGATGGGGTTGCACCACATATACGAAACCCAGGCATTGATGGGTAGGTAGGTTAACCTTGCAAAACTCGGCTTGGTTTTCATACTGTTCCCATCAGCACGAAATAATCTATGGAAGTAATGTATAAGTTCAGTTGTCACCGGAGGGGTTTCTTAAAATTAATTTATCAAGTGACCAGATTCCAATGTTTTTTTTTTATTGGGGGGCTGGGAATTGATAATCATGTGTGTATAATTTTATTATGAACAACAGCAACAAAAATAGCTGGCAGAGAAATTGTGGAGAAAATCATTTTCATGCAGTAAAATTGGCCAGGATTAAGATTTTCCAAGAAAAAGCTGTTAAATTTTTTTTTTTGAAAATGAAGAGGCTTGGATGACAAAAAAATTTGTCTAGTAAAACCATCAAATATAATTCTTGAAGAGTTTTGGACGTCTGTCAGGCCCAGGAATAAAATGCACTACTGTCATTAAAAGAAACTGAAAACCTGTAAGCAGAAATTATGCTCATAATTCTGCAAACATTAGCAAACCAATAATAAATGGAAGTACTGTTCAAGGGGAAAGGTTTTTGTTTAATATAAGTGTGAACTGTGGTCACTCATTCATGGAAATGGTTAACCATCATTTCCATTTTTTTTAGCTTCACAATCATTTCATATTTTACAATTCCTGAAACCATTATTCCGTGATGGAAGAATATGGAAGAAAGAGAAAGAAAATGACTTGCAAATTATTTTTCATAACCCCAGTAAACTGTACAGCACTGTATTTCAACATGAGCCCATGAAAAAACCAATTTCGCTTAAAATAATGCAGCTGAAACCCTTTATTTTCTTGGATACTGTTATGGATTTTTGGACAGTTCTTAAATGTATTCAAGCAAAAATTTGATGCTCCAAATGTTGGCATTAAAACTTTGGGATTGCGTCATGGATTTACCAGGAAATATAAATTTTAAACCGCATCAAATCTGAAAACAACAGAACCCGTAGTTTATTTGCATATGGTGAAAATAAAAAGGCATTAATCTTGATTCTAGAATTTCATGCTTCTTTGATGGTACTGATTTTCCTTCTCTGGAAAGTACTGTATAATAATTTATTGTTACTTCATCCGAGTTTTTTGCTGACATAAATTCTAGGAACATAAATATGCAGTCAAAATAAATGTTATCACTTGGATTTGATTTTTACATTATTCAATGCTGAACTGTTATTTTTCAAATCCATGTCAATGAATTTTTTTGCGTACTTGAAGGGAAAGGTTTTAACAATTCTTGCTGCAGAGCTGATCTGAAAAAATAAATTTAATAAAATACCTTGTAGATTGAAATTTTCTAGATTTCTCCATAATATAAGCAAAACATAGATTAAATACAGGTGTGGGGGGTTTCCCCTGTTTCATCAAGACTTCTTTTTGCAAAAAGTGGACTTTGATGGAACATAAAATCTCAACAAAAATGGTAGCAGTGCTGTGAATAATGCTAAAAGATCCATTCCTTCAATGAATCAATTATGAATCAATTCCAAAAACCAGAACCAAAATACTCATTCCACTGCCAGTAATTGAGCAAAGCTAACTAGCAATTTGAGGTGCAAACTCTCTGTACTTGTGTGAATGTATGTTTTCAAAAATCTCCTGAGTTTATTCAAATATTCTTTGGGACATTATTAAATACTCAATTCTTTTTGGAGCCTCTATGAAGAGGCCCCCATCCCATTCCAGGCTGATTGGGGTGTTTGCTTTATCCCATACAACGGACCTTGACTGGCACAATAGATTTTTGCCCAACAGACTGCCTCTGGAGGCAGTTTTCCCTACTGTTGAATGAACAAAATCTGCATGACAGACTTCTGCTGTTGGTTTAAAATTGATGGTAAAAAGTAAACATGTTAATGTTTTAATGATTGAATTTGCTCATACAGTAACATACTTTTCACACAACATACTATAGTCTGTTGCACAATATAAGTCCACTGTGAGTGGGTTGACTGTATACAGTACTTATCTTCCTTTCTTGTACAAGACAATGCAGGGGTTTCTGGTTTCTGTTTTGTGGAATATCCTGTCAAATTTCATTTCATTCTTCAAGGTCCAGTACTATTTTAAACTTTTTAATTCAGTTGGAAATTGATAAATTGAGCCTCATTATAAGTTCAATAATTCTTGAATTCTTCAAATCCCAGTGAACATTACTCTATAGAAGCAATGCATTAAAAACAATCCTAACTCAAAGGCTTCCCCCTTCAAACTTTGAACTTTCTTGAAGCCTCTTTATTAAGGGGGGGGGGAAGAGAAAAGCAATAAAAACTAAACAATTTTTTTTAAAGGAAATGAAAGACTAATTGTACAAATGAACCCTCATCTCCAGGTGCAGCATCCTGTCAACTCATTCAAGAGGTAATTCAAAGCCCAGAATATCACCAAATAATTAAAAATTCCTGTAATTTTTCTTTCATAGCCAAGAAATGCTCGTTTTCCTCAACAAAAACCTATATTTTTCAATTCTTTGCTGGTTCCTTGAAGTTTGATTTCAAAAGATTCAACTATACTGTTGTCCGTAGACCGAGGTATAAATAAATATACGAGTTCAATAAAAATATATACTTCAAATATATTCAACTCACAAATATTTGTACAATCACACAAACATAAAATTAGAGAGCTTTAAGAGAGTCTTGCTAAAATGTTCCGCAAGTTTCTCTGAGAAATAACTGCAAATGACTCTAGATTAATTCTGGGGAAATATGTGGGAAGGAAGGTGTATTTATACCTTCCTGGAAACATAAAATATAGAGGCAAAATATTCGCCAAGATTGAGGAACTGCAGGTTCCCTGAACACTCTTGATGAATACAAATATCCTGGTATCTCTGGGTATATATTATAAATATAAATAACATATATACACTTGCAACTTTGGCGGAATAGGCTTCTTCTAAATTAGCAGTTTAGAAGAAGGCAGTGCAAGTTGTTTGTCACTGTTGACAAATAGCAAGTTGAAAAGGAGAAATGCCCAATAACGACCATCACGCATTAATGCGGGCCAACGTGAGAGAGGGGGAACCAAAACAAAAGGGGAACAGCTGCAAGGAAAAGAATACCTTGTAGAGAAGGATCTCTCTCCATATAAGGAGAAAAGAAAATAATTGCAATTCAGTTTCTGGGTTACAATACTGTATTCTCTTTCTAGAAGTGAAAATTTAAAATTTTATACCATTGGCAGTGCAGCAATTTTTAAACACTGTCAAACAAAGAAGGGTCTCATCAACATATTTTTAAAGAAGTTATTAAAAATGCTTCAGTTCTTGAATTTGCACTTGTTTCTTAATTTCAATATTTTTGCTTATGCAGTACAGGTGGTACCTCACAATTTGACCATCCAGAAATTTTAAAGTCAAATTTGCGGGGAGGTTGACTTTCAATTTGACCTTGGATCTGGAATTGGACCTGCTTTGGCCACTTTTTTTTTAATTCTTGTGCTCATATTTAAAAAGCGTATTGCAATTTGACTGCTTCACAATTCAACACTAGTCCAGCAACAGATTAGGGTCAAATTGAAAGGTACCACCTGTAGACTGCGCGGAAATGCATTTAAATTTATTTAAAAATAAACCGCATGCATCAAATATAGAATGGGTTTTTGCTGCGTATAATACTAGGGTATACTATAGCGAAAAACCCCTTTTTTGTTTTTTTTTACTTCGTCATTTGATGCGTGCAAGTGATGAAAATACCACCATGATGACTTCACGCAACAGCCCAAAAATAAATGATACCCGTGACGTGTGTGAACTTATGGGATGAATTGCATGTGTGAACTTTCCCTCGGGGGCTGGGTCTCTGTGCTGCTCTGTGACATAATCGCACTGGCTCTTCATTCTCCAATATATTCCCAGAACCTCTTTTTTTATTTTTGCATCACTCATTTTTTTATTCCTTTTTCATTTCGTTTTTTTATGTGGCATAGGAGAGTTGCGTGGGGTTTGTTATTGCGACAGGAATAGGAGACAGGCGAATATAATGCAGGCTAGCTACTATAAAGCTTTTATATTTGTACTTGTCTGTCTTTCTCTTGCTTCCTCATCCTATCCTGTGAATGTTTCTCATTTGCCTTCGCTTCCTTGTCTTCTTTTTTTTCCTTGCGCTTTTTCTTTTGTTGTTTGGTGCTGTTGCGCTTTGAAAGGTTGTTACGCAAGAGAGATGATGAGCTGCTGGGCTGGAGAAGCGATGGTGAAATGTAGGGAGGATGTGCACTTTTGGGCTCTCTTGGAATTATTGCAGAGAGGTTGCCAACTTGGTTACAGGGGGCTGGAGGTTAGCATCATATGCACCAGGAAGAGGAAGAACCAATATGGGTTTCCAATAATCCTCTTTTTCTGCTTCTAAAAAATATTTTCAAAACAATGGCCTGCTTATATATAAAATAGTACTATTTATTTTCAAGGATTGGCGAATAAAATGTAATACAGTGAGTCCCCCAGATGCAAACGTAATTGGGGCATCAAGAGTGTGTAAGTTAAAACGTCCCCAAGTCAAGTCATTTTCCCTTAGACTTACATTATATAAATTTTAATTGGTGTTTCATGTACAAAATACTCAACATAATGCCATGAAAATGAAAATTGTCTCCCAATTTAAACTGATTCCAATCAATATATTTCAAAACAATATGGGCATTCGGGGAATTTAATACTGATACCTCTGTACAGTACATAGAAATGTTGGCATTCTCTGTTTAAAAAAACATTCAAGTGAAAAAGAGAGAATGAAGTCCCTCTCTGCTGGAGGTAATTTTTTTTAATTAGCAAAAGGGATGGTAAATTGGTGAGAGATATGCCAAAGAACTTTTCTTCTATCAATTTTAGGGTTGGAAATATCTGTTTCTTGTCATTTGGCCTGAAATGTATTTGCAATTTTATAACAAAATGTCCCCATGTCAAGGCAGTGTCCTCATGTTGGGTCATTTTTATGATTTTTATGATAAAATAAGTGTCCACAATTCAAATTGTCTGCAGGTCAAGGTGTCCGCATGTGGGGGTCTCAGTGTACTAAGAACTGATCACTTAAAGACCTTTCCCCTTGAAAGAAAAAAACCCAAAGCTTAGAGAAGCAAAAAAGAAAAAATAAATAAAAAATACAAAAAGAGAGGAAAAAATGTACTAATCTTAAATAATCATTTGCACTGGAAAATATGAGCGATAACTTTCAAAAATGTTTTAGTAAATTCGATTCAAAGAATGTATTTTCAGAAGGATAATTTTTGCTACCACATGCATTGGTTTGAACTCAATATTAATTTCCACAAGAAAACAATCTACAAAGAAATGTTTTCCAGCCCTCGCCTTTTGAATTGGCCAGTTACTTGAATTTAAAAAAAAATCAGATGCTTAATTGAAAGGTTAAATGCTTGAACTTCACATTGGAATATTGCCCTTTATTTTCAGCGCACTACTTTTCAACCATTCAGAGAAAATAATTTTTCAAAATCTTTTACCATTTCCTGGTACACCCCATATCAGTTTTTTCGATTCGAATTATCATTGAAAAAAATTGAAAAATTGATTCGTGATATCGTCAGAAATTATACGTTTTCAGTTTCATTTTTATTCTCATCTCAGTCTTGCAAAAATATTGCAGGTAGAAGATAAGCGAATCAATGCAACCATTTGTTTTGCCTTTGACGGAGTTCACTGTTTGTTTGTTCTTCAGTGGGTAAAGATTTTCAAGAA